GTAGGAGATTTATTGTGGAGCCAAAGGTCATCATCGTAAAATGAAAACCCTTTTTGATGAACTTTTTTTCAGCCTACTCCCTGTTCAACCCTCGCGTCTGTTGCTGCTTATAGTTTCAACAGGTGGATTGCCTTTCCGATGGTCAAGTTACAGTTGATTGCAAAGTGAAGTCATTAAGTTGCTGGAAGTGATTTTGGAGAACTTCTCAGATGTCCTGTGAAGCCGTTGCTGGTAGGATCCTGGTATCAGCAGAGTGATGGCATAAGTGCTTTAGAAGAGGACGGTCTGCGGATCGAAGGGTGAAGAGTGACCTAAGGAAAATGATAAAGTCCTCAAATATTTGTGTAAAAATGGCCCTTTTTATGATAGGGCTGTGCAAGTCAAAGAGGAGATGAGAGATGTCGCGTTGTGCTGGCATACAGCGCCATCAGAAGGATCATAGCCAACGTACTAGTCAGCTTTGATTCAGTGTTCATTCCAAGAACTAGTTCCTGCTTGCAATTATAAACCTCTGTGGTTTGTTTGTTTGTTTTTTCAAATCCCAGATAAAATGAAACTTGTTTTCATAATTTTACATTTATTTTCTCAAGATCGAGCCTTTGTCAGACCTTTTGGTCCCTATGATTTGCTATCCTAAATGAATGCATTTGAAGTGACCTTTTTCCACCAGCAGTTCTCCTTCACTAACAAGGACCTCCTGCAGCAGTGTTGAGTCAGATACAGCACTGTGTGTGCATAAATAAGCGCCAGAAATACACCGTAAATGTAGCAAAAAGCATTTCCAGTACTCCCCACATGTACATGGTGATCTACAGAAGGCTTCGTAAGCACAGTCCACTAGATACTGCGTCTGGTCCTCAAAGATGTCTGTCCCTGGGTCTTCATGTGGTTTCTCTTCATGACTGTCTCCACAGAGGCCAGAACACCAGGACAGCACAGACGCATTTACTGTCACAGTAGTCACGTGAGGAATTGTTCTCATTTCTAAAATCGGAAACAAGTAGTAGCTTAGTATCTTTGAAAGCTGAGCTTGGCAAACTGTGGCCCACAGGCCAAATCCAGCCCATTGCCTGTTCGGGTAAGTAATGTTTTATTGGACTGCGGCCACGCTTACTTGTTCACATACTGTCTGTGACTGCTTTCACTCTACCATGGCAGTTAAGTACTATAGCAGTTAATACGATGAAGTAGTTGAAACTAAGACCGTGTGACCCACAAAGCCTAAAATACTTACTATTGTTGTTAGGTTCCGTCTAGTCAGTTCCGACTTGTAGCAACCCTATGTACAACAGAATGACATGCTGCCTGGTCCCTCCCACTGAGGGTCTTCTTTTTTTCCTGACCCTCTGCTTTACCAAGCATGATGTCCTTCTCCAGGGACTGGTCCCTCCTGATAACATGTCCACAGTAAGTGAGACGAAGTCTCGCCATCTTCGCTTCTAAGGAGCATTCTGGCTGTGCATCTTCCAAGACAGATTTGTTCACAATATTAAAATATTTACTACTTGGCCTTTTACAAAGGAGCCCTGGTGGAACAATGGGTAAGTGCTCAGCTGCTAACCGAAAGGTTGGTGGTTTGCACCGACCAGCCGCTCCATGAGAGAAAGATATGGCAGTCTGCTTTCATAAAGATTTCAGCATTGGAAACCCTGTGGGGCAGTTCTGCTCTGTCCTGTAGGGTCACTGTGAGTCAGAATCAACTCGACAGCAACAGGTTTGGTTTTTAGGGCATTTTGCAGAAAATGTTTGCGAAGCCCTGATTGAGAGCTACGTTTGGAGCAGAGATGTGCTGACATCCTTGGAGTCTCTTCATATGCTGCCACCTCCTTTCTTTTTGCCAAAAAGACGTGGGAAGAGTTCCAGTGCCAGAAATGGCAGTAACTTATAACAGACTAACCCACCCGTAGATGACAATTATATATAAACTGATTAAAAGATTAAAACACTATTTGAAGGCACTGCTGAACAAGCAGGTGTAGTTGGGGACTAAAGGAAGGAATTACAGTGTGTGAGACCCACGTTTACACAGCTTTTCCTCAGTGGGCACACCCCAGGATGTGTGGCTCAGGCCACTAGAACTCAAGAAGAAAGCCTGTCTTTCTAGCTGTAGGTGTTTTAGAACAGAGTTTGGGGCTGCTAGAGCATCTGGAAAAAAAAAAGAGGCAACTCCAAGAAAGGTGGGAGCTAGCGAGGAAAGGCCGCCAAAATCTGTACATCCCCCTCAAGTCTTTGGCTTACTCCTAAATTGCACATGCACGGGGGAGATTTTCAGGAACCCAGGAGAAAGCAACAACTGGCCAGGGATTTTAGCTGCCGCTCACTATAGGAGGGATGGAGTTTGGAGCTTGAATCCTGCCATATTAGGGGGATTGGGTCACCTTGGGCATTCCATTAAAACCTCCAAAGGGCCACGCGTTAGGAGTAGAGACCATGTCCTAGGACTAAGGGCAAACCTAAATAGACTTACCCTAAAAATGTGTAAAACCTGTCTTCAGGGTGATTAGTCTGTAATTTAACACTCTTCAGAGAAGATAACAGAAACCAGAGTCTACAGTATATCATCCACAATGGCCAGTTTGTAATCAAAATTAACTACACATATAGAGAAAGGAAAATGTGACCCAGTGAATAGAAACAAACCTCAAGGTGACCCAGATATTGGACTTGGCAGACTCAAAAGAATTTAAAACAAAAGTTTTAAATATGTTCAGAAATTTAAAGGAAAAGCAGTCTTAACAAATGAACAGATGGAGAATCACTCAGAGAAGTGGAAACTAATAGAATCAAATGGAAATGCTGAAACTAAAAGCTACAATATCTAAAATGAAAATTTCACTGGATATCTGACAGAACAAATTAACCAATCAGAAGAACATAGAGAAAAAAAGTGGAAAAATATGAACAGAGCCTCAGTACCATAGGGACAAATTCAGAGTCTTAACACATA